AATACATATATAAAAGAAAAAAAGGTAGTAGGAGATATATTTCTTGTGATGATTTAATAGTTTGTAGTTATCATTCTGATGAGCCAAAATGGGCATTCGTTAGATATATGTATGGCATAATTTCAAAAGACCCAAAAGCACCTTACTATGAAAATATACAATTTAGCTATATATCACTAGAAAAATCTCTAGTATAAAAGCATTTTCGCCTGAACGAAGTATAGCAATTGTTTTTGAGGATTTGTATCTCACTTCAAAATATATACAAAATCAAATTGGTTAATTTTTTGGAAATGGGTGACATTGAAATATTTCATATATATTTGTGGTACAGAAATATCATAAAATTACTATATTCATGCGTGAAAATGCTAATTACTTAGTACTTTTTAATTCTGGTAGTTCATATGAAGATGTTTCTAAAATTATTTATAGATATACAGATGATGTAAAAAATGCATCAATGGTTATTAATAGCTACTTACGCAAAGGCGAATTTATTGTATTTGATCTAGATAGGCCTGAGGATGATCCACTTGCAATTCAGCTAAGGTTTGATACTCTACTAGATTTGCAAAAAGAGATAGAGTTATGGCAAAAGTGCAAGATAAAAAACATATTACCTGCTGAACCTACTTCATAGATTTTTATTTCATATTATATTTTCTATTCCAGAAATTTCATAATATATTTCTCAATTGTGATCTCAAGAATAGCATTATTACAAAGTAATAAGGCTCTACTTCTAGGAAAACAGTAGACAACTACTTATTTATGTCTTCAAAAGTATCAGTAGAACTAGCATAGCCAAAAAATATTATATAAATAGTATAGGTATTTTGTACCTGCAAGGAATTAATAAATCGAATAAATACCTGTATACTATGCTTCTATTTCTAAAAGTTATTTTTTGAATCTAACTCGCAATTGACTCTTTTTAGAATCTATTCAATTATATAGAATATAATATTCTTCATATTTTCTAATATAAATATCCAAAGAAATATTTAAATTACATTATTTATACATTGTAATCTATTTAGTATGCTATTGATCAAATTGTTCTCGAGTCTGAAGATTTTTCACTTTATATTTTGTTAAACCTAGAAGTTTTTCATCATCTGGGGTACTATCATTTGGTAAACTGTTCCAAGCAAGTTATGTATTTGATAGTTCTCTTTCTCTAAAATTTCTCCAAAGTCTTTGTATAACCCTTACATATTCAAACTCAGTTCATAGTCTTAAGCATCTATAACTGGTTTGTAGTCTTGAGCATTCATAATCATAATGATTTTTCATTAAATCGAATTAACTTGCTTTTGAACCTAAATTAACATTGATATGCATAAGTTTCATACAATAAAAACACATTGCAGTACCATCTTCATATAGTTTACTTCTGCTATAATTATATTTATCAAAATTTGTACTTTGAACGTGTAAAGTATGAAGGCAATACTAATGAAATGTAGAATATAGACCTCCTAAACCTATTAATTCTTGAAGAGTAATTCTAATATGACAACCTCACTGAATAGATATTTCTCCTTCAAAGATCATACTAATGAAATCATAAGGCCTCTCAGCATCAATAACTCTATTAAGAATATTATGTCCACTAGTTCTTGCAATCCTTTTATTTATATCATGTTCTGCTCTTGATATATTTAATGATTATATGAGATTTAAGTATATTTAGAGGTATTTTGACCTATCAGATTTGGTACAATATATATGATTAAAACTAGATTCATTTTTAGAACGAATTGGGTTATTAGATAAGTTGTATATATTTGTCATATTTTGTGAGTAATATATAAATGAGAATAGAAGAGATACATATTGGGTTGTAGTGAGAATTGTAAACTTATATTAGCAGAATTATGTAAAAACTATATGTTTGAAGAAGACAAGAATTTATTTATTTATTTTTTAAATATACATTATATATTTATACATAATACAATAAAAATATATTAAATTTCTACTAATTATTTATAATTCTAGAAGTAGATCTTCTGCCCTCAACTCATACCTAGCACGTATCAAAAAAATATGACCCCTTCTACAATCTGTTGATGAAGAAGGAATTGTTATTTGCTTTTTTTTTCAGTTTAAAAAACATAGTTCTGGAATTCAATCCTTGAGTATTATTAGGATTTTGATATTTAATGAAAAGAATATCATGCCCATCAGCATTTCTCTCAATTCTATTCTTCAGATTATCATATACATTATTGAATTTCCATAGATTATAAAAAAGATATCATGTACAAAGTATATAATACTATAACAAATATCTTTTATAAGTGGAAAATTACTGTACAGTAGAAGATGTGAGAAAAATGCTACAACTTGTCTAGGCTGAAGTAGTACAATAATCTGAAGTTGAGGGAAACATTATTCTTCTCCCTTAAATTCTCTGAAAATGACCAAACAGCATAAACTATTTGGTTCATCATGTTCATCTCAATGGTAATTACTAGTTGTATTGTAATTAATAGCGATCATCAGAAAGATTCCAAAGGGTCGAAATGCAAAAGGTCCTCATACCAACTTCTCTAATTTTTCATATAGATTTCCATAAAATTCTTGTATAAATTCATTAACAGAGGTTGATAATGAGCCAAGTTTGCGAAGTAAAGTGTCAATGTATTCTTGATATATGACATTATGGGAACTTGCAGTATTCGAACTAGTGAATAGAAAGAGGTTATTTCATATATATGTACTAAAATATTCTATAAAATTCTTTTAGAATTCATCACTACGGTGGGAAGAGTTATTTAAGGTATGAAAATAATAATAGTTTACAGCATCTATTGCTTGTATAACTGCCTTTGGATTAATAAGTAATAACAGATATATTAAAGTTTGACCATCTATATCAGTAACACATTCTGATTTTACAATATACTGAAACTGCACTAACCTTTTTAGTGATTGAAGATTACCTCATACAAAAATTATCATTTGGGTCTTTTCTTTTTAAGAGATACATGAGGTTATTATATTTGAAGAATTTTGTGATTCTATATAATTTTGAATTTCTATAGTATGTTTCAGTTTTTTCCACTTATATCAAAGAAGCTGACATACATCCCTTCTTGTGAGTAGTTCTTCTATTCCTAACCATTATCTAAGAGAAAGCTACAATTGTTCATTTAGATTTTTTGTTTTGGATTCACTTAGGTAATATAATTAACATTAATTATCTTATTATTAATAAGCACTAGAAAATTAAGTAGGATCTTAAATAGCTCAATTCTGTTTACTAATACAGCTTCTCGAACTAATATTTCTATTAATAATTCTTCTGCAAAAACTTTTTCTTAACTTTTAACTCTTTTTGACGCTATGTGATCAGATGGGCTAAGCAGAATGCTCTTTCACTCTTTTTTAATATAAAATATTTTATCTTGCGTATATAACTCTTGAGTTCATGTTGGGTCTGATACTAATAATTAATAATACAAAAAGTAAAATTAATATTAAGCTTATTAATAGATTTGGATGAGTTTTTAGATTTATTTTCTTCTGTCTAATATTTTTACAGACTGGACCAACCACCTTAACTAATTATTGGGTTATTAAAAAAATAAATGTATGTCTGTTGAACCACAAATATACTCAATAGAGGCCCTATTGCTTCTACTATAAAATGAAATTTTTTGCATATCTGAGTATATTTAATAATAGCTTAGAAAGGTCAACTGATTAATACAAAAACAATTCTAGCAGTGAGGAAAGAATTTGATAATTATAAATAATATATACCCAGTTCAGATCAAAAGTAATATCATTAATCGTTAATACTATAGTTAGTATGATAGGTAAATTGTAGTTCATTGGTAGGATTGAAATTTGTTCTTTCCCAAGCCTATATTTTTTATTATAATAAGCATGACGTGACAACTTTTTGGTTGGTTTCTCTTGGGATATGTTAACAAGTTTAGAAATTTCATTTTCATTTTTATGCTTCTCAATAGATTCTTGTATTGTTTATAAATTTAAAAAACATTTTTGATATATTACTGATATGTAGAAATTTTTAGCGATATATATAGCAAAGCTTACAATATTATAAAAAATAAATTATGAGAGTTTATGCTAAGAGGCACCCCTTTTATTAGAAAATACAATTATAACTAAAGGTATAGTTACTCCTAACGCATGTTAATTTATAAATTTGCCAAATATTTTTTTATCATGGTATTATATATTGCAAAATATAACTTGATGATTTAACACTTTGCAATTACAGAATACATTTTCTAAAAAATAATAATTCATCAAAACAATGGTTAGTACGTTGCTTTATTTAATATTATAATAGACTTTGTAATTTTCTAACAAATTGCTGTTTACCAAATTTAGCACTACAATTATTGGACACGGCAATTCAATCAACAATCATATATTTTCTATATTTGGGATTATATTAATAACTTGTTGAAGTGCATTTGGCTATACAGAGTACAGAAATTATTTTATATGCTATATTTAAGTTGAATTTACAAATTTAGAATAACTTTGTTATTTATACAATATAATCAAAATATGTTGATCAAACATCTAGCAGAAGTGTAAATACTGTACAAATACTTATAAATATAAATATATATTAATTTAGCATAACCATATTGATAACCATTCAAAAATAACAGCCATTTGTGACTTATTTCGCTATTGATCTATGCTAGAAAAAAATAAAGTATGTATGTATTATGACCTAGACCAAAATAGAAGCAAACTTACAGAACTGTTAAGTCATATGATAGTATTATAAAGCTAAAATAGCGATATCACGTTACTTGATATTCAGTTCAAATCCTTGACTGGCTTTAATAATCAATGGCCTGCATTAAATTTTATGCAGTATTACTCTCTTTCAGAATTATTTCTTATGGTCAATTTTTGTTAACTGCTACTAAATGAATAATAACTAGAAGCTTTATTATACATGATCTTATGATAAAAAAAGAGACGAATAGGGCTTAAAAGAACTATAAAAGGGAAGAGTATAATATTATTTATCAGTAGTTTTATCCAAATTCATATGTTACAGGAACTTTGAATCTCTACAATCTTTGAGATCTAGTCTACTCTGAGTGATCTGCAAAATCTAAGGGGTCAAATTTCAACTAAAAAAATATCAAAATAGAGTTAGCATTTAGGACTTATGACCGAATAGACTTGCTTTATATGGTAGGATCTAGTCTGTATTAGAGTAACGTAATATAACTTTTTTTTCTGATAGGTTTTTAGATTTAACGAATAGATGGTATAAAAAGAAGCAAGTTTTCACTGTAAGATAATACTGGTCAAAATTAAAAATATTATCTAAATATCTGTATATAATCAGAAAGGATGATAGCAGACCGATATGATGAAGACTATAATCAGATTTTTTATAATAATAATAACAGGTCAATAGGCTAAAGATTTTGGTGAAATATGTTAAATATAAGATTATAGCTAGATTAAAATACTTAAATATCAGATATAAGATTATTATAAGATTTTGTAGTAATATGCTGTTAGTAAGTTTAAAGATATACTAAGATTAGATAAATTATAAGCTGATATATTACTGGCTAGTTTATTTA